CTGAGCTAATGGGTCAATCAGTTTATAATCCTATGGAAACCTCTCTGTGATTTTCTCTGGGACTAAATGACTGGGGGACCGGATGGGACAGAAATCCCAACAATCTGGCCCTCATGTTACACACCATAATCTTCCTTTCTTATTCACCCCCAAGATCTCACATTAAAAACATAAATCACTTTAAGTCCCACAGTCTTTACAAATTCAAACACTTTAAAATTCAGTCTCTTTAAGAAAATCCAAAGTCTCTTAAAACCTAAAGTTTCTTCAAATGCCATTTCTCAATTGTATTATGTTATTGTAAAATAATAAAAAAAAGAAATACTTTCTTATTTCAAGAGGGATGAAGCAGGGCAGAGTCACAATACAAAGCAAAACCAAACTTCAATAGTATAAGTAACTCAACTTCTCAAAATTGTAGAAAAAGTCTACAATTTTCTCACAATCTTTAGCTCCTCAAGGCCTTGCTTCACTTCTCCAGCTCTGTCTTCTACAACACACACAGCTTGTCTTCTGGCCTCCCATGGTCTCCACCCCTCTGCTGCTGCTGTTCTTGGAGGTCTTCTCATGGTTCTTGTACCTCCAAAATTCTGGGTTCTTCTGCTGAAATTGGGCTCTACTTTCATCAACAGCCATTTCTAGGCTCTCTTTGTAGTGACAAGTCTCAACTTATCTTCATGACTCCTTAAATTCTCTGCCATTAAAGTCCTCTCTTGGCCTCTCATAGTGCCAAGAATCAGCTGTTCTCCTTAGTCTCTTCATTCATTTAAAACCAGTATCACCTGAGTGACCCTTACACAATTAAGTTCAGCTGCTAGTAACACGTTCAACCTTTGACACCTCTGGAACACAACATCTGTGTGGGAAGTCTCATAAAAATCTTCCCAGAAAGATTTCTCCTCAATTATGAAAGTCTCTCTCTCTCTCTCTCTCTCTCTCTCTCTCTCTCTCTCTCTCCTCTTCATTTGGACCTTGGGAGCTCAGTTCAGTGCTCCAATGTGGGTCTCTGCCTCTGTTTTCATCAGTTGCTGGATAAAGATTCTATGATGATATTTAAGACATTCATCAGTCTGACTACTGGGCAAGTCAAGATCAGGCCCCCTCTCCTCTACTGTTGGGGTCATTCTTGTGGATTCCTGGGAATTTCTCTAGAGCTAGGTTTCTGCTAATCCTATAATGGCTCCCTCAATCAAGATATCTCTTTCACCATTAATTTCTCAGCTCCAGTAAACTAGCATCAATTACCCCAGCAAAGCAAAGGTTTTACTGTAGTAGGTATCTTGTTAATCACAGATGATTCTTCAGCCCCAGCTAACTAGAAATACAGAATCTCAATGCAAAATAACAAATATTCCTAATAAAGTCTTTAAAATTAACTCTAAAACTTCACAAGCCATGCCTCCATCTTTTGCATTGCCCTCAACATCCTCTGTTCTCTTACCGAACAATTCACCAAACATTGAATGAACATGTAGCTGCTTTTCTTACACAATGTTTTAAAATTTTTCCACAATCCTCCCCAAAACTACATGGTCAGGTCTGTCAGAAAAATATCCTACAATGCTGGTATCAACTTGCTTTAGAGTTTATGTTTCTTTAGTGAAACATCATGACCTAAACCAAGTTGGGGAAGAAAGTGTTGATTTGGCTTATACTTTGATTATTGTTCATCATCAAAGGAAGTCAGGCAGCAACTCAAACAAAGCACGAACCTGGAGGTAGAAGCAGATGCAGAGGTGGTACTGATTACTGGCTTGCTATTTATGGAAATCTCAACTGTAGGGCCCACAGGTCTACACTCCTCTCGGGGTTCATCTTGAGGACAGCTTCTGGCCAGACACATTGTTGCAGATTTTTGCTAAACATCCTGTTTGTTCCTGGGCTCCCTCTGCCCCTGGTTGTTAGCTATAGGGCCATTGTTTACTTCATCTTGGGCTTGGTAATTTTCCACCTGCCTGGGGGGATTTCTGTTGTGCAGCTGCTAGGTATATAAGGTTTTTCCTAAACTTGAATAAAGACATTCGGCATTATCTCCTCACAGATGATCCACGTCTCTTGTGTGTTTTTTTAATCTCCAGGCCCTTGCCTGGCTCTCGAATGATACAGGGGTGCAAACTGTACCATAGAGAGTAATGCTGAGAGCATTACACTCAGCCTGCTTTCTTATAGAACCCAGGGCCACCACCCACAATGAACTAGGCTGTCTTCCATCAATCACTAATGAAGAAAAGAACCTACAGGCCTGCCTAGAGCCCGATCTTATTGAAGCACTTTCTCAGTTGAGGTTTCCTCCTCTCCAGTGACACTAGTTTGTGTCAAGTAGATATAAACCTTGCCAACATTCCAAACACAATGATGCTTACACTACCAAGGAATTTTCCTTTATTTCTGACAGCCACCAAGATTTCAAGTACAAATGAGGATTTCATTCATGATTGTGAACAAATAAAAAGAACCAAGGTGTTAGATCAGCAAAAATTAATTACAAAATTCATATACAGAGAACAATGTGAGTTTTCCTAAAAAGGAGGGACTTGATAAACATATAACAAAGATGAGGTGAGACAAATAACACTAAAAGGTCATCGGCCTTCCCAAAGCTTGTCACAGTGAAAAACACCACCAAATATTGTTGTGATCCAGCTGCCCTCACTCCCCATGACTGTCAGGGGAACTTCCTTGTGGTCTGTAATTGACAAAGATGTTTGTGTTCTTTCTGGCCAGTGGGTCTCCACAGAAGGAGTAGAGGTATAAAAGGTTATTGGGCAAAATAAAGGTTACTGTTCATCCACCTGAAAAGAAGCTTCCATACCTCAATCCCAGCACCCCCCGCCAGTCTTGGCTATCCAGGCTGCCCTGGTTGCAGCAAGTGGCGGTCCCACCGAGATCTGGAAAGTGGGGATACGTGAACGGGGTCACTCCAGCCGCTGGTTAAATCGAGGAGCGTATTGGGGAAAGCAAAGTGTTTTTATTTTTCATCCTCAGAGATAACTCTGAGGGACATCCTCCAAAAAATAAGCAAGTATAAAGAGACAGGAAGGTGAATTGAAAGGCCTCAAAAAGTAACTGAAACTCTTAAAGCAACAAGGTACATAAGTAACAAGGAAGACAGCCAAGAATTTTGTACAGGATAGAGTTTATTTTTATTTATTTATTTATTTATTTATTTATTTATTATTAAAAATTTCCTCTTCCTCCCCTTCTCCCACTTCCCTTCCCTCCCCTCCCCCCACTCCTCATCCCCCTCCTTCTCCAGGCCAAAGAGCAGTTAGGGTTCCCTACCCTATGGGAAGTCCAAGGTCCTCCCCTTTTCCCCCAGGTCCAGGAAGGTGAGCATCCAAACAGACAAGACACCCACAAAACCCGTCCATGCAGTAGAATCAAAGCCCAGTGTCATTGTCCTTGGCTTCTCCGGAAGAGAGTTTAAATGTTCCAGACTGGGAACAAGCCAAGTCAGATTAAAAGGGGTATATGTGTCTTCATCTTCAGAGATGCTCTGAGGGATGCCCTCTGGAAGATTGGCCAGTAGGGAAGCAATAAAGAGGAGGCAGGAGGGTGAATTGAGGACCACAAAAGATAGAATGTGTAGAGATATATGTTATTGTGTTGATTGTGTTGTCTTTTGTGTTCTGGACTGGAGAAAGACATTAGATCTGGGAACTACTAAGAAAGGTATTTTGACTTTAAAATACAGGCCTAAGGAATTGATGATTTGGAAAAAAGGTTCTGCTTTTGTCTCCAAAGAGGATGAGAACCTGTGGATTCATTGCAAATTTATGTGATTTGAATCACCGAGATCCCCTAAAATGTTGCTGTAAAATACCCCCAAGAATGCAGCACCTCCGCTCAGCAGGAAGTAGCCAGACAGGTTGATGGTGCCCAAATTCCCTAATAGATTGTTAAAGTGGGGCCCCCTCAATGGTTCCAGAGCTAGAGCAGCGAGCCTGCTTCCCTGAGTTCTGCTCCACTCCATGCAGCAGTTTGGATCCAGAGTGACTATGGCTGGGGCCAGAAGGCAGCTGGAGCAGAGCTTTGCCACCACAGCTACTGCTGCCAGACCTGCTCTCTCACAGATTGTGCAGATGGCTGAGACTGTCAACCAGCAGGCTCAAAGAGTCAGCAATGCTTTGGACGGACATCAAAATCTTATTGGACATATTCAATTGGGCATATTGACCTTAAACCAACAAGTAGCTCTGCTTCAGGAGCAAGTGGACTATCTTTGGACTTTTCAACAGTTTATCATGTTATTGTGTTACTCATGGCACTGTACTGCATGCTTCTGCTACTGTTATGGAACTCAACTGTCATATGAGAGGGGTTTGGAATACTGCTTTTGTTAATTTTACCACCCAGTTAGTGCATGCTAGATGGTTGCAATGCTGATCTGGGTCCTTGGCACTGTCAGTCCTGGGAATACTTGGTTTAGGTCTATGCGTCTGGGTAGCCATGGATGGGCAATACTTTGGGGGCAGGATGCTACCTAAGACAGGGAATATTAGAGGGCTATTCCCCACAACAGGCAAGGTATTATAAAATAAAACGAGGGGAGTTGTTGTGATCCAGCTGCCCTCACGCTCCATGACTGTCAGAGGAACTTCCTTGTGGTCTGTAATTGACAAAGATGTTTGTGTTCTTTCTGGCCGGTGGGTCTCCACAGAAGGAGTAGAGGTATGAAAGGTTGCTGGGCAAAATAAAGGTTGCTGTTCTTCCACCTGAAAAGAAGCCTCCGTGTCTCAATCCCGGCAGCCCCTACCAGTCTTGGCTATCCAGGCTGCACTGGCAGCAGTAAAATATCAGTCAGAGAAGTCAAAGAAGATACACACACTGAAAAGATACTCTGTTTTCATAGACTGGGGGAGTCAAATAGTCAAAAGTCTACAGAACTCAATGTGATCCAAAGAGTCCATACAACTTTTATGACATTCTCCATATCACTAGTAAAAGAACCTTAAAGAAACTGGACCTCCTGACTTCAACATATACCATGAAACTGGAGGTAGTCAAAACAGTGTGGTATTTATTTGCAAAACACAGACACATAGATAAACAGAACAGAATAAAGACTTCAATAAACCCATACATGTACAGAAATCAATTTTCAATAAAAATGCAAAGAACATACAAACATATTGGGAAAAGACAATAAATAAATAGTGTTAGGGAAATTGGATAACTCACATGCAAGGGGTTGAAAGTAGAGTAATCTCTCACACAAGTTGTAAAAATCAAATACAACTGGAAGGAAGGCTCAAATATAGAATTTGAACATCTCTATTATATATAAGTTTATATGTTATACATTTATATTGCAATATACGAATATCACATATATTCATATCACATATATGCTTATGCATAATATAGGTTTTAAAATATAAATACAAAATTCTATAAATATAGGATGATAAAACCACTAGAACAGATCTTAGGAAAAATATTCAGGAAAGTAGAAGTAGTAAGGACTAAAGACATTTCAGACAAGGTTCCAAAACCTCAGGCAACAAAACCCAAATAAACAACTGAATTACATGATAGTAAAACACGTCTGGTCAACAAGGAAAACAGTCATCAGTAGCAAGAAAGGAACTATCTTCTGAAAAGCAGAAACTATTTCCAAACTCCACTTCTGAAAATAATTTGATATTTGAAAACATACAAGGAACTTAGGAACTCAAAAAAAAAAAAAAAACTACTTGGTTTTCTGGACAATAAACCTAAATAGACGTATCTCAGAAAAGACATACAAAATGGCTAGTGGGCACATGAAAAAATATTTAACATCACTAATCATCAGGGAAATGCCAATCAAGCCACCAGAAGTTAACAGCTTACTCCACAAGAGTAAGCTGCTATTAAATAAAATAGCTCCTATTAAAAGCACCAAAGAAAAGTGGTGTGTGCATATGGAGAAGGCAACCCCTGCATAGTGGAGGAGAAGTGCAAATTAGAATGGCCATTTTGGAAAACAGCATGAAAACTTCTTAAAAAGTTGAAAACAAAGGTGCTAGATGATAAAGCTATACTATTTCAGGATATACATTCAAAGGGAAAAGAAATCAATGTTGAAAAGGTTGCAGAGATGTCTGGACACTATTTATAACAGACGAGAGAGGAAGCAACTGCCTGTGTGGAAATGATGAATGGAGTGAGAAGTGTGATGCACACACCCGTGTGAACAGTATTTGGCCGTAAAAGGAAATTCTGTCATTTACAGCAACATGGACAGAACTTGGGGTTCATCCATGTTTAAGTAAAAAAAAAAAAATCCAGACAGAAAGACAGGTATGACATGATCAAATATATATGGTGCTCCATAAATATCTATAATTATTATGTATCAGTTAAACCTAATCTTAATGTCAAAATGTAAAGGCGTTAACAAAAGCAAAACCTCACTTGAATTCGCTGCTTTCAGAATAAAAATGAAGCAACTATTTTTCTCCAAAATGATAATTGCTGCTAGGCACCGCATGACCAAATTTGTAAGATTACTTCTTAAATTTAAGGAATACAGTGACAGAAAGTAATCACATACGACAAATTATACCTTTGTCTGACAAGGTTGACTCATTAAATTTTCAGTCTCTGTTGATGGCCGTGTGGTCACCACTGTTGATAACTGGTCATGCATCTGTGTTGATTGTTCCTGTGTGTTCTCTGACCTGGAGACACCATGACACTGTTAGAGAAATAAACCAAACACTGACCTAACACTCCCCCTTCTGGCAGCACATTGTCAGTGAAGCATACCAATTAGACTTTGAGAGCAATACTTTATAATCTGTCTCCATGGAGATCATATACTCTATATTCCAAAACTTATCATCTGCTGCACAAATCCCATATCCATACATGTAGATAATTAACATACTCCCTCAAGTATAAAATAGGCATTTAAAAATGACGACATTTAAAACAGAATTCTTAATCCTCCCTCCAAAGCTTGCTCTCCCTCCATTCTTGTATATATTTGTAAAAGTTCTCTTTACTGCTAAAACACTTACTTTGGGTAAGATAATTCTTTCCCTTCACTCGTTCTCCATTACTGTCTCTTAAGAAGCCTTCCCATCCTGAGTAGAACCTTAACCCCTCCTCCTATTTTCTACCTCTTCAGTCTAGACAGTTTGTCTATCTCCTGACTACTGTAGCTGTCTCTTCAAAATGCTCGTTCATTCTTGTCTTCTAAGATCTCCTTCCACATCCCAGAGAGAGAACCTTCTAGATTCTAGATCAGATCCACGTGCTCCTCTGGTTTATACATTTGGATTGAGATGGTGCAGAACAAAACCCCACAGATGGTTGAATTCAAAGAATACCTAACGACAGCAAAATAAACCACATGCTGCCACTTATGTTTATGTTTCTACTGTCACAGCCAGGTATCTTATTTCCATTCATCTTTTCATCATGCACAGCCGTTCATGAAGAGAGCTGGACAAGTGGATGGGCATTTTACTATTTAATCCTATAAAGTAAGATCTTCTCAAGTGATGTGACAGACTTTGTTGACTTCCCATGGGAGGCCTCACTCTCTCTGAGGAATGGATGGAGAGTGGGGTGGGGGAAAGTGGGGGAAGTGGGAGGAGGGGAGACAGAGAGAACAGGGATTGAAATGTAAAATAAAAAAGGTTGGCTTAAAATAAAATAAAATATAAAAGTAAGATCTCGCTTTGACTTTAGGCATCAGATAGACCTATTTCAGGCTTCTACATGTCTCCCACACCATCCACTGCCCTGGGCCTATGCTCTATTCTGTGAAAATTTGTTCTCAATAAAGAAATTTTCATTTTTCAAGACAGGGTTTCTCTGTGTAGCCCTGGCTGTCCTGAAAGTCACTCTGTAGACCACGCTGGCCTGGAACTCAGAGAACTGTCTACCTCTGCCTGCCCAGAGAGGGGATAGAAAGAATTAAAAGAATGCACCACCACTGCCCCAGAATCAATAAAGAATCTGAAAACTGGGCTGGAGAGATGGCTCAGCAGTTAAAAGCATTTGTTGCTTGTTCAGAAGATCCTGATTCAGTTCCCAGCACTCATGTGGAGGTTTTATAATTGCCTGCAACTGGAATTTTAACACCTTCTTCTGGCTTCCACAGGGACCAGAGGCACACAGGCAAACACCTATATGTATAAAGTAAAAATAAACAAATATTTTCTTTAATAAAAAACAATCTTCTACTCAACGCACCACAAACGGAAATGCTTGTCAACAGTCTACTTATATGACTATTCGATGTCAGAAACTGCTGGACCTATGAAAATGAGTTTTTCTTCAATATCCACTTCATGATGAACTTTTTCAGATCCCTTGTAACTTTCGAAAAGTTATCATATAGCTTACCCTTTATTTTCTAAATTAATATAGAGAATTGTCCCAAGGATGATACATGAAACTAAAAACAGAATAATGAATACAACTGCAGTCGTCTTCCAATTTGAAACATGATTCCTGGTCCCTGAAAAACACAAACCAGACCATATTGTTTCTCTGATTACACCATACTGCCATCTTGGGGTCTTTAATTTGTAATGTTTTATGGCTTACTATAGTTTAATTGACTTTCCAATTTATTCTATAAGATAATTTCCCATTACCATGAAAAAAAAAAGGAAAATTCCAGGTAGTTTCCTCTTTCCTTGAGTATAATTAGGGTTATGTATGTCTTTAAGTGAGACACTATACTTTGCCTTTGACTGCACAGATGTGGTTTTATCTCGTATTCTTTTTCAATGAGTTACTACATAACCATTTTATGTGGATGGAAGAGATCGAACATGAAGAATTTGATACTGGAATATGAATTCTTTTCTGAAGACAATTCAGAAAAAATCAAAGTAACTTCATGAGAATTTCACCAAAATCAGGAATTCACACACCTAATATTTATCATAGAACTAAGCAATGAAGAACCATCTTCTCAAGTGGTAAATTACTTCCTGTAGACACCTGAATTTTAATAAATAATTAAAACTAACCATCATAACACATCCAACAGATTTACAGAAGATAAGTGTAGCATTTAATTCATATAACCAAATTGTTTGAATAGGGAAAATTGGCAAGGAAAAGAGGCTGGCCAACTTCAGTTTCAAGAAACAAACATAATGAAAATACTTATCCCTAATATTTTGGAGACTCCTTAAAAATAGCATTAAAATATAAACTGTTAAATGAAAAGGAGCAAGAATATTGACATAGCCTTTGGCGACAAGAATTCCTGAAGAAGGAGACTGAGAAAACATGTAATGTAAATAGAAGAATGAGCTCCAGAGGTGAAGGATGAAGACAGTGAAACAGAAGATGACTGAAGACTTTCAAGTTACTATTTCCAGATATACTTAAAGAGATATGATTTTCTGAACATAAGTATTGAGGAAATGTGTTTGAAAGAACGAATACTTTTAGTTCCCCAACTGCCAAGCATGGGTGGAAGAGGGGCTCAGCATTTCCCACTCTGCAATGCTTAAATATTTCCTACTGATATATTCAGGGAAATTGGAAAACCTTGTCTTCAGTTGTATATGCATCCATTGGTGATCACACAGTCTCCAGGGGGATATTACCGCTGATGGCCCTGGATAAACTAAGTGGGACACAAGTAAGATCAAAAGTCATGAGCCTAGGAGAGTGAGTGTGGGGAGAGGGAAAGTGGAGGTGATGTGATTGCAGTGGACGAGAGTTAAGTAATGGGAAGAGAACAGAAAGGAATCAGAATGTATCGTGTGTGTGTGTACAATTACCAAAAATAAAATTTAATTAATCAAAATTACTGTGGGACAATGGTTTGTACCCTGTCAATTGTATTTTAATAAAACACTGATTGGCCAGAAGCCAGGCAAGAAGTATAGGCAAGACAACCAGGCAGGAAGTAGAGGTATGGAGACAGGAACAGGAGGATTCTGGGAAGAGGAAAGCTTGGTCCACAGTCATGATCCAGACCCAGAAGAAGTAAGAAGTGACTGCCTCTCTGAATAAGGTACTGAGCCATGTGGCTATAATAGACAAGAATAATGGACTAATATAAGTAATAAGAGTTAATAAGAAGTCTGAGCTAATGAGCCAATTAGTTTATAACTAATGTAGACATCTGTGTGATTTATTTGGGACTTAACAATTGCAGGAACCGGGCAGGACAGAAGTCCCAACAACAAATAGCACCCAACGTGAGGCACGAACCCATGACCCTGAGATTAAGAGGCTCATGCTCTACCGACTGAGCTAGCTGGGCAGCCAGGATGAACAAGCAGCCCTCTCCTTGCAACAACAACAAAAAAAAAATCATTTTAAGTTGAAAAAAAGAAACTTTAAATTTAAAAAATTGCTTCTCAAAAGAAGGAAAAGTTTCATAAGAGAACTTTAAGAAATATTTGTACAATCTCCCAGAGAATGTGAAGAGAAAAGAGAGTCACAGCTATTAAAATGAAGTAGAAAGCTTCCCCAGATGGTTGAATGAAATTTTGATGATAGCTTTCTGAAACAAATCAACTGAATTAACAGCAGGAAATTCTCCATGAAATAAGAAAAAATTGTGGAAAGTTGCATCTTTCTCACTACCCCTTTAAGTTTATCAAAACCAAATGTCAATCATTATATTGGAACAAAGTAGACCAGGTCTCCTTACCACATTATATCATTACAGGTTTTCATTTCATTCTCATTGCAGGGATCCTATGGAAGCTGTCAAAAGACAGGAATAGGAACAAGATTTAAAGCTAGAGGCTTATTGCACACTATGTCACCAAGTGAGGGCCTGGAAAACTGATGTATAACGGGGAGTTAAAAAATACACACAACTTCCTTGTTCCTTTGATTTGCAACAAACTGCTTACCCTGTTGATGTAAGGTTTGAAGAAAGATTATATTACTTGACTTTATTTTAAAACTTATGAAGTGTTATTGTAGTTATCTTAAATACTTCTAGCATAACTAATATTATTTGGGTAGCCTATTTAATCTTCTAAGTCTTATTCTCCATTGGAGAATAATTTACATTCCTTTTAGGCTTTGGTAGCAAACCTCTGTATTATCTGTGTTGGTTTGATAAGAATGGCCCCCATAGACTCATGTATTTGAATGATTGGCCCAAAAGGAGTGGCACTATTAGGAGGTGTGGAATTGTTGGAGGAATTGTTGTGGAATTATTGTAGAGGTAGTCTTTGAAAGCTCATGTTCAAACAAGGTTTGTGTGGAAGTCTCTTTTTCCTGCCTCTGGACCAAGAGGTAGAACTTCTTCTCCAGTACCATGTCTGCCTGCATGCCACCATGTCCCACCATAACCAGAATTAAACCCCTGAAACTATACAATAGCTCCAATTAAATGTTTTTCTTTATAAGAGTTGCCATGGTCATGATGTCTCTTCACAGAAACAGAAACCCTAACTAAGACAGAAGTTGGTACCAGGACTGAGGTGATGCTATGATAGGCCTGATCATGCTTTTGTTTGTAGAAATATAGATTTGGGGACTTTGTGTGGTGATATTTTGTTTGTGCTCTAACAAATAAAGCTTGCTTGAAGATCAGAGGGTGGAACGAGCCACTAGCTAACCATAGAGGTCTGGAGGTCTGTACAAGAGAGACAGGAAGTGATATGACTAGACAGAGAGAGGAATATAAGATGGGAGGAGACAGGAGCTGAGCCTTTTTCAGCTGAGGATTTAGCAAGGTAAGAGTTGACTGTGGCTTGCTCCTTTCTCTCTCAGACCTTTCAGCATCTATCCCAATATCTGGCTCCAGGTTTTTATTATTAAGACCAACTAGAAGTCATGCAGCAACTTTGGATTAGGAAAGAAATGGAATGCTCTAGTGGTGTTTAGTGAGCCATACTAGTAGGAGCATGGAAGCCTGAGGGACTGGGGATGATTTGAACTGTGGGGGCCTGGTTCATGAGATTTCAGAGGAAAAGAAATTTAGTATGTGACCTAGAGACTGCTCTTGTCATATTTTGGTTAAGAATGTGGCTACTTTTTGCCTTGTCCAAAAAGTCTACCTGTGGTTAACGTTAAGAGTTTGGAACTTATTGCATTGGTATAGGGAATCTCAAAACAGCCTAATATAGACTCTGTCATGTTGCTACTAGTGTTTACTCTTGAAAAGATTTATAATGGAAAGGAGCAGGTCAAGTAAGTAAATATACAAAATGTGCAGATTGAGGAGAAAAGGGGCACTAAGAAGTTGAACGAAGCTAAATCCGATGTTAGGATTTCTTTAAAGGAGATAAACAGACTAAAGAAGAGCCAGATGTTAAATGGAATAAAGGGTGTGGTGATCTTGGGACAGGATCCCACCCAGCTGAGCTTTCAACTTATGAAAAAAATTAAAGAAAGGCTTAGAGCCAGGTGTGGTGGTGCTTTTAATCCCAGCACTCAGAAGGCAGACACTAATGAATTTCTAAATTCAAGACCAGCCTGGTCTATAAAACAAGTCCCAGGATAGCCAGGGATAGTTTAGGTAATAAAGGATACCATTACAAACAGAAAACTAATAATGAAGTAATTAAATGAGGTAGCCATGTTCCATCTCTAGCAAGCAGTAGAAGTTGGCAGATTCAGCCACTTGGTCCTTGCTTTAGATTCAAGGATAGAAGATAGGGGTTACAGAATCTCCGTCCTTGACTAAGAAAAGCCACTGAGACCAGGCGTGTGTCAGTGGTGTCTCTGAATGGAGACCCAGAGAAGTCGCAGCATGAAGCTGTGAAGATGAAGCCTGAATTGCCTTGGATACTCCAGGATGTTGGAGATGCCAGAGTCATGGGATATCTGCCAAGGAGAGCTGCTAACTGGGAGTGGAACCTGCACAAGAGGAAGTAGTGTGTGTGTGTATACTTGCGGTTAACATAGCTAAAAGAAATTGGAAATCTGAAGAGCATTTTGACAGCAGACATGGAGATGCAGATCTTGGAGTTTTCCCAGCTGGTTATTGGTTTTGCTTTGGTCCTTACTATACTCCCTTTTCTCCCTTTTAGAATGGTAATGTATATCCTGTGTCATTTTATGTTGGAAATATGTGATCTGCTTTCTTATTTTTTATTTTAAAGGGGATTACAGTTAAGAGACGAGTCTGAGAAGAGACATTGAAATTTGGACTTTTAAACATGTTTGAGACTGTATAGACTCTGGAGACTTTAAATATATTGGGCCGAATATATTTCTTTATTATGTTCTGGCTACAAGCCTATAGAGGCCAGGTAGTAGAATGCAATGTTTTGAATAAAATTGATGCCCATAGACTCATGTGTTTTAATGGTTGGCCCATAGGTGGTGGCACTATTAGGAGGTATGGCTTTGTTGGAGTAGGTGTGGCCTTGTTGGAGGAAGTGTGTCACTGTGGAGGTGGGCTTGAAGTCTCATGCTCAAGGCAAGCCTAGTGTGACAGTCTTCTTTTCTGCCTGCAGATCAAGATGTAGAACTCTCAGCTACGCTCCAGCACCATGTTTGCCTGCGTGCTACCCCGCCATG